CTAAAGGTGAATTGAAAAGGAATATAGACTTTTTAGGTACTGGAAATGTATTGTGTAGTGCTAAAAACTTTAGTTGGTATCAAAGTTCACTAATTGTTTCATCTTTCATGCTTCTTTTCTCCAGTCACTTGAATGGGATAGCGGAAAGACTCATTACTATCAGTGTCATGTCGCTTTGGACGGTGGTCACACTTTCAAGGTTCATTCCGCTACTATCCTTCACGTTTTCATATGTAGTTTGTTTTAGAAAGATTTGATTCTTTTGCAAGTTATCTATTAAACATGGTATCTTAGTGGTAGGATATAGTACTTGTTCTTAATGACACAAGCATGAAAATGTTCACTGTTCACAGGGCCCTCTTCTTGAACACACTGGAACACACCTTCACAAGGTCTTAGGCGATGAAAATGTTTTGACGGTCAAATTTGCGGATGCACCGAAAAGCTCTTCAACCAGTTGTAATGACCGTGACTTTATATATAAAGGGATTGCCAAGAATGGTATCATGATTGGTTTACGTCGTTATCAATTCTTTGGTGGGTTGTAATTCTTTTTCCTTTTGATTAAACATAATTCATGTCATATTAAATACTATTGCTTTTGATTAAGAACTGGATATTAGAGCTTAATTCTAACATTCTATTGAACAGTTTTCAAAGATGGAGGGAAAGAAGAGAAGAAGAAAGATTTTTCTACGAAGGGAGTGAAATGCTACTTCATACGCACGGACTCTACATCTTCAAACGATATGGGAAGTCCCTATATCTTCTCCGGGAAGTCAATCCATGAAGCTCGTATGCATTTTATGCACGCTCATACATTGCCATCTTTGGCCAAGTATATGGCAAGGTACTCAAGTTTCTAAGTCTCTATTGGTGGCAAGCAAAGATGTTTTGTTTCCTTTGTAATTGGAGCCGAGCCACTGTTTTTTTGTTGATGCTTCAGGTTCTCTTTAATTCTGTCAAAGACTAAGAAGCTTGAAGTTGACATGGCTGGGATTACAATCGATGAAATCGATGATATACGCTGCCATGTACATCCTTAATTCATATGTCCTCTAGAACTATTTCTAATTGGCCTTTACTTAGTTGTGATCGTTGTACGCTGTATTGCAGGATCAATATGGTAATGACGTTCTTGATAAGAATGGGAAACCTTGTATACATTCAGATGGCACTGGCTACATCTCTGAGGACCTTGCTCGGTTGTGTCCAGTAAATATTTTTAAAGGGAAATGTCTCAGAAGTGATAATATTCAGGTATTTTCTCAAATACCATGACTAATTTATGTTTGCTTAGGTGCCCATTTTACTCTAATGCTTTTTTCTTACTTATTTTGAATCATAGGAAGCCTGTAAACAAGACCCGGTATGTATTATATAGTTCACACCCATGTTTATACTTGATTCTATATCTGTCTATTACTAACACACATATAGTAACACTAACTTTTTCAAACAGCCTCTTCTGATCCAGTTTCGGATGTTTTATTATGGCTATGCTATTAAGGGAACTTTTCTCTTAAACAAGAAAGTAAGTCTGCTCTGAGTGCTCTCTATCACATTACAAAATCTCTTATTTTTTTGGGTTATAATGTTTGTATGCTATTCCTAATGTTGCTCCCAATTTGGTAGCTTCCTCCTTGGACAATCCAGGTTCGACCCTCTATGATCAAGGTGTCTAAAGATCCAGCCTTGTCAAATATTAGCACCTTTAACGCCCTGGAAGTAGTCAATACAAGGTATGTGTTTCTTGGATATTGAAGTTCTCTCGCTCGTTGTTCTTGTTCTAGAGTGAAGTTATCTTATTTGTTTCCTCGTTGTTCTTGTTCTAGAGTGAAGTTATCTTATTTGTTTCCGTCATTCAGTCTTCCACCAAGAAGAACAACAAATCTATCAAGGAATTTGGTTGCGCTGCTTAGCTATGGTGGAGTCCCTGATGACTTCTTTATGAATATATTGCTCAATACACTTGAAGAGTCGAAAACCATATTCCACAACAAACGTTCCGCGCTTAAAAGTGATTAAAATTCCTAAACTTTCTAGTTCTTTTGCAGTTTTTCTGTAAATCATTTTCCTAAATCTTAAGATGTGAATCAATTTGTTTGTGCAGTTGCCCTTAACTATGGAGAAATGGATGACCATAATGCTGCAGAAATGATCTTGGTTGGTATTCCCCTCAACGAACCACACTTGAGGACTCATTTGTCTACTCTTTTAAAGACAGAGAATAATAGTCTCAAAGAAGGAAAGCTTCCGGTGTCCGAATCGTACTATCTCATGGGCACAGTGGATCCCACCGGAGAGTTAAAGGAAGATGAAGTCTGTGTCATCCTGTATGCTTCCCAATCTCTTTCACTTTTAATTTTACTTGGAATTGTGAGTTTGTTGTTCATTTCTTTCTCGTGGTCTTGTAGTGAGTCTGGCCAAATTTCAGGGTATGTACTAGTTTACAGGAATCCTGGACTACATTTTGGAGACATACATGTACTTAAAGCTACATATGTTAAGGCCCTAGAAGAGTATGTCGGAAACTCCAAGTATGCTGTGTTCTTTCCTCAGAAGGGTCCAAGATCTTTAGGAGATGAGATTGCTGGTGGTGACTTTGATGGTGATATGTATTTCATATCCCGAAATCCCGAGGTAATCCACCGACCACATTTGAAAGTAAACTCTTCATTTTTGTGACTTGATTTTATTCGGTTTTCTTTCTGTTTTAGCTACTTGAACACTTCAAGCCAAGTGAACCGTGGGTGAGTTTGAGTCCTCCTAGTAAAAGTGACTCTGCTAGAGACCCAAGCCAGTTTTCACCCAAAGAGTTGGAGAGAGAGCTTTTTGATATGTTCTTGAAGACAAGATTTCAAGCCAGGTCAATTTCCTTTTTAAGCTTTAGATTCAAAACTGTATCCTGGACCAATCTTTGAGTTCATGTCTCTTTTCGTTTCTCGGGTTTTACAGCAATGTCATAGGGATGGCTGCAGATTGCTGGTTAACAATAATGGACCGCTTCTTCATTCTCGAAAATGACAGAGCTGAGGAAAAAGCTGAAATGAAAAAGAAAATGCTAAAGCTTATTGATGTATATTATGATGCTCTTGATGCACCAAAGATAGGAGCTAAGGTCGATCTCCCTAGCGAGTTGAGGCCTGACATTTTTCCACATTACATGGAGCGAGATCAAATATTCAAGTCCACTTCTATTCTTGGATTAATCTATGACTGTGTTAAATCACAGACAACAGAGAAACACTCCCCATCATCTGGTAAAGGATTCTTTCTTGTTACGTGTTACATAATCAGATCACAAAATAAATCATTAGATCATAACATGTGTTTTAACTGATGTTTTAACTGATGTTCACAATTCAGAAATCAGTAAACTCCAATGTTTCGAAGATGAACCGGTCTCTGAGTTTCATATGGAGAAATGTAGACAGTGGTATGACAATTACAAGCGTGATATGAGCAAGGTGATGAATGCCGATGAGAGCTATAAGGATGAATTAGCCAGTGAAGTTATTCAAAGATACAAGCAGGTAATACTCTCAAACCTCAAATCAGATATAAAGAACAAAAATAGAGTCCGATCACAATACTTGATGATTCAAATTCTGAAAACGTTTGTTCTTCTCTGCGTATCAGGAATTCTACGACGCTGCAGGGTTTGAAGACAGCAGGAAAAGTCTTGAAGAACTCTATCCTCAAGCCCTCGCACTCTACAACATCGTTTACGATTATGCCATTAAGGCAGGTGTTTCAACATCGTTTGTGTGGAAGGTTGCAGGACCGGTTCTGTGCAGATTCTACAGTAAGAAAACGCAGGAGAAATCTGTAACGGGTTCAGTCTCTGTGCTTAAAGAGCTTTGGGGTTGAAGAATACAGTCACTTGTTCTTCTTTTGTTCTGGTAATAACAGTACGCCTTTTGTTGTCTTCATGTATCCTAAGAAGCGTGTGAGGCAAGTATGTTACCTGTGTAGTAACTAACCTATATCTTAAGCTATCGAATCAAGATGTGGTGTAGTTCTACTCTTTGTCCTCTACTGTAGAATAACTTCGTATGAATATTTGCTTATGAAAAATAAAATAAAAATATGTTAAATAATGAAGGTAATATTTAAACAAGATCTTTCTTGAAAGCTCCTACCAAAAAAAACAAAATCCTACCCAAAAAAAAAGATAGTTCTTGAAAGCCAGTCCTCGCATAGCTTGATGGTGCAGTAACATAGTATTCTAGCAACTGAAGTACTGAAATATTATCAGTTCAGAAGGATTATTCAAAGGACACGACCACGATAAAATAATTCAGAAAAACACACCGAAAACAAAAAAAGATGGATGTTTACTAGAATGTCCCATAACTGAGGTTTAATCTCAAAAATATCACATGACCAAACTGGTCACTCAAAAATGTCACTCACACAATTATCCAGAAAATAACTTCTAAATATACACGGAAACTGTAATTTTTGTCATGTACGACAGACACGTACATGACAAAAATATCACGTACACTCAACTAAAATATTGTTTTGATCATGTACGTC